TTCCATCCACCCACTCAGCGTCTAACATCCCCAAGTTATTTTTCGCAGTCTTGGATCATCCCATAGAACACGAATATCTGTCAAAAAATATTATTTCTATTTATTTGCTTGGTATGACCAACACGTTTCCTACTACACACGATGATAAGTCCTTCAAGTCTAGCTAGCAATCATCTATCCATCATCCCCTTGCTGTAATACTTGCAATGCACACAACTAGGCAGGCACCACGTCTATACACACACATTAAGTGATTCTATGAAACTCTGTATAGTGATTGATCGATCCATGCTACACTCTATTCGATGCACCACAAAACTCTCTAACGTTGAATTCTAAACCCCTACTAACATCCAAACCATCATATACCAACCGGGGCTATAACCTTCTCCCATGTTGCCCTCCGTTCTCCATCCCCTCGACCTCAACCCCTTTCTCCGTCCCCATTCCCAACCGGCACAACCAACCTCACCACTTCCCTCCCCCCCCCCTTTTTGACCTCCACCCACCCCCCGTCCTCCACAACCACAATTGTCCCATCAACACAAACCCTCCTCCACCTCTCCTCCCTCTCCCCCTCACAGAAATCAACCCTCACCCCTTCAACCTCCTCATAACCCACAACATCCCTTTTCTCCACCACATGCCTTCCCCCCTGAGCCGCCAGCTGCATGATCTCCATAATCTCCTCCGACCTCAGCGGCCCGAAATACACAAATCGTAGCCTCCCATCCAGCGGCCTGGATTCAGGCGATATCGTAAAGCCCTCTTCTAGCGTCGAGCACAACGTGGCAAGTACATACATATGTTCCGTTTGCTTCAGTGGGCGGCGCGTCTGGAGCACCTCCCCTTTTCCCTTTGTAGTGGGGGTAACCGTAACCTGCCCCTTATAAACATGCGCCGGACTCCCATCGGACGGGAACAGCAATTCCTTTGCTGCCATATGAAACCTCTCACGCCCGAAACGGCGGTACTCAGCTGTATCGCTATCCGCAACGAGCGACGCATGCATGCCCCAACTGAACACAACAACACCGAAGATTTCCAGCCCCTTACCGCCCTCACCTCCACCTCCACCCCTATCCCCAGTCCCACAGATAGGCTCTCTCCCCCTCCCCTCATCCGTCACATACCTCGCCCCCTCCGAAAACCCCACCCGAAACATCGGCAGCCCCTTCGCAACCCCTCCCACTAACACCCTCAGCCCCCCCGTCGCATCCCGCCCAGAAATAATCTCCGCGGAATTAGCCGTGGCATTCCCCGTCCCCATCGGCACCAGACACACAACCGGACACCTGAACACATCACTGCTACTACACTCCGACAAGAGCACTTTGATAACATCAACTAAACCCCCATCCCCCGCCAGGAGGATGATGGTCTGCTCAATCCCTAGCCGGGCGCGGGGGAGAAAGATGCACTGGGCGAGCTGGGTGATTGTCTGCGGTGACTGGGTGAGATGGGTGGAGTAGTCATTGTGTTCGGTGAGGTTGAGAAATGCTAAGAGGGGCTTTAGGGCTGTGGCGTAGAAGGAGGAGGCGCGCTGGGTGCCTGATTTCGTGGAAATGATGATATGTAAGTTGGGTTCATTGGCGGTGGTGGTGGTGGTGGTGGTGGTGGAGGATTTGGCAGGGTAGAGATGGTGATGTGGCTTATGCCGATGAGGCGGCGGCGGCTTGAAGATAAATTTACTGAGGGGCGCGGGGCATTCGCCAGCCGACTCGAATCTTTTTAATAAATACTGCTGTTCTCGCTGCTCGTCGAGCGCAGAAGAGGAGGGAGGGGAAATGGAATCTTCCAGCCAGATATAAGATAGTAATTTCTTGTTCTCAGGACAGGGGACAATTGCAACAATCTGACTCCTCTGAACCGTGTGTTCTTTGCCGGACGACCCCTCTCCGGTCCATGTAAGGCTCTCTGAGGAGCTGTCGTAGGAAACACTGCTGAGTTCCACGAGTCCTATGGAGGGGATGGACGTTGGTCCCATTTTTAAAATCAGGCACGTATTTTAGCCCATCAATGAGGAAAGTTAATACAAAGGGTCCAAGATTCGCATAGGTACAGATAACGCATATCCCAGCGGAGGGGGAATACGTAGATCCTGGAAGTCCGAGTGTTTCGAACGAATGATTCCATTCAGCTTATCAACCAATCTGACAACTTGGTATGAAAATACATATATTCATCTACGGTTTTTGCCGCTCTCAAACAAAATCCGCTTCTCAATCCTGTCTATTCCATCTATGTATGTATGTACTTCCTGCGTCTCCCCAAAAATAACCTTTCCGCAGAATATCCATCCAAATGAAATACATCCGTCTCCCATACCACACCGTCCTCTTTAAAAGTGGAAAAGACAAAAAATCTATTTAAAGCCCATATAATACAAACAAGGCACAAAATATAAGCAAAAAGAGCTAAAAATTATATATATATATATATATATTTTAAATAAATAAATTAAATAAATTAAAAAAAAAGGGGGGGTTGTTCATCATCAACCCGACCTGCTGAACACCTAACTGTAAAAATCCACATCTTCATACTTCACTTCTGAACCACCTCCCCTGCCGCTGCCTTCACTGCATCATCAACCTTCGCCGCAGCATGCTTATCGCTGAGATTCACTGCAATGAACGACTTGGGCAATTTGACCCTATACAGTATACAACGCACCCCGTTAGGCCAATATTCATAACCAGCCCAAAAAAAAAAAAAAAAAAAAAAAACACTTACGTGTCAAACTTCGCCTTCAACGTTTCAATAACCTCCTTCCAATCCTGATGCGCTGTCAAACTCCTCCGCGGCGCACACCCAATCGCATGCCGCGAATCCAGCTGCACATCCAACGGATCAAACGTGTGACAACCAGGACTAATCGAGATACGAATCGAATACGAAAACGTCGCCGCCTCGCTGTCCCACGCCTCGTAGAGCTCAAAGCATATCTGCGACAGATAGTCTAGTTCGGGAATGGCGCGGCGGGCGATCTTGGTCTGTATACCACCCTCCAAGATGCAGTTGAGAAGTGTATAGATGTGCGATTCCTTCGTGAAGTAGAAAAATGATTTGGCGTCTGGAGATGCTTGGACTTCTTCGAGGTCCATGACTATTTCTCGGAGGAGGGGGAGGGAGGTTAAGAGGCCTATTTCTAGCTTCTCGTCGTCGTCTATTCCGTATTCTTGCGGCGTGACGAAGTCGAAGAGCACCTTGGCGAATTTGTAGAGTTGGCGGAGTCTGGAGAGGCGTTTGTCTAACTTGGCTTTCGTCTGGTTTGAACCACCGTAAAGTTTGAAATAGGAATCGTAAGAATCCTCCAGTGGACCCATCGGTTGCATTAGAGAGAGGTCAGCAACAGATCTCCTTTTAAGCCCCAGACGCTGGACGAAGGTATTGTTGTTCTTATCCTCGGCTTTCTCTTTTTCCTTTTCCGCCGCAGAAACCTCCCCTCCACCTCCACCTTCTTGCCCAGACGGAGACAACCTCTGTCCCCTTACGGCACCTAACTCCCCCTTCTCCGAACTAGCAGACCGAGACTTCGCATCCGTGCCCAAACTCATCTGCTTCCCAGCCTCACCTGTCTGCAGCATACTCTCCGGAGGCAAAAAGACCCACTCCAAAAACGGCCGATTATGCAATGCATCGAACTTCATACTATCATACAACTCCGAAAGTTTCCCCGGGTCAACCTTCTCCGTATCGCAGAACTCAGCAAATAGTTTCTCCCATCTCTCCTTGAACAGCTGCGGATCTTCGCCCGCGCACCAGCGTCCCTGAATGGATGAGAGAGTAGGTGCCGGTGTGTCCTGGTCTGTCTTTCCTTGAATATCAATGGCATTTGCAGTCGTCGTCGTCGTAGTGGTGGTGGTGGTGGTGATGGTGGTGGTAGTAGCTGGAGAAACTGAAGCATCACCCCGTTCCAGTCGCGCGAAGTTATACCTCATAACTGTTCGATGGAACTTCATCAGCTCAACAACAGTCGACAAGACGATCGAAGGTTCCGGGAAATTTTCCTTCGGCCACGCAAACTGCGGCGGCGCCGAATTTCCCTCCCTCAAAAGCAATTTAAGCTTCTTCTTCACCTTATCCATAACATCCTTAGCAGCATTGGAATCATCCAACAAATCCTTTCGAACTTGTACGAAATCCTCAGGCACATCCTTCTGATCCAGGAACGCGGAGGCGAATATTTGGGCTAATAGAATCGAATAGAAAACAAAGACAGCTCAGTATAAAAATAGAGCTAGACAAAATGGGAAACCAAATCAAACAGCAACGGCGGAACTTACCACTGGTACTAACCCTCCTCTCTGAACTTGTGAAAATGCTCACATCATTCAGTGCCTCTTTATTCATCAACTTCAAATCATCGCGCATATTAAGCCCGACATCTTGTGACTGGTATCGCGCAGCATGTGTCGGTTCACCACCCCATTTAATCACCAGTTGAAGCTTATCGAGAATCAGATCATTCTCCACCGCTGAAAATCGCGAAAAGGTAGGACTCGATAGGGAGTTGCTCCACGTTTGCGATCGAGAGAGAAATGGCTCTTGATTTTCATCTTCCGTTTCCCCAGCAGCTTCGGCACCTCCCTCTCGAGTTACTTCTCTAGATACATTGAAACTCATAGAGTTTTCGGAAGCCGAACTTAGCGGGTTACCAGAGGGAGCCGCAAGCCGATCCCGCATCTCATCCGGATATCTCTGCCTAAACATCGGCTTGATCTGAACTTTAGTCCCCGGCCATTTCCCCTTATGCTGCAGGGACGTCTGAAGAAGCTTCAATTTCTCCATATCCTCAATCCCCTGCTCCATCGCAATCATGACAGCATCTGAAACGCAGCGCAGCGCCATCTCACCTTTGATGACAACTTCTTCCTGATGTCCCCTAAGCAGGTCGATGAAAGGTTGTGTATGGAAAGTAAACTTGAATTTCTGTTTTGGGGTGCGATCGGCATGGCGGATTACAGCTACCATTCCCTTTAGTTTCCAGGAATGTTTCGATGCTGGAGGAGGAGCAACAACGGTATCTGTCGAAGAAGTCACTGCTGAACCGGCACTATCGCTCGTGTTAACGGTGCAACGCCTGTCAGTCTTGATAGGTACGCCCTTCAAGTTGGAAGCCAAGACACTCGCATCCGAACTGGGAGTTGGGAAGGATGTCGTCGCGGAAGCCAAATCCCTGGAGACAGTTGGATGTGTCTTCTGATTGTATATTGGGTTCTGCATTCTCGTCATGCTGGGTGACTTGAGAAGGGACTTGAGAGCTTGTCTGTGGGAACCGCCATTGTTCTTGCGTCCGGTGGGCAGTTCACCATTCGGGTGAGTTTCAACAAGTAGATGGTCAATTTTCTTCCCTTCCCTTCGCAGTCTGTGGTTGATAAACATCTCACGCAGGATTTTGGCACATTTGTCGTAATAGTCATTGTTGTCTTTAACAAAGCTCCACCCGTTGACGTCGATGACATAAGATTTGTCTCCAACACGAAGCATATCAAAGCCACAAATCCGTTGTCCAAATCCGTTAGATATCTTGGTGGCTATGGTGGCTTCTTCCTTGCTGAGTTTGGTAATATATCTTATCTCCTTGCCATGTGTGTTGCGGCGGACGAGGCCATCAACCACAGGAGACTTGCGAGTTTCAGCATGGCAAAAGTCAGGTCCTACTGTGTAAGCTTTGACATCCTCAGCATTATCAACTCTTAGGAATTGCTCGTAGAGGTAACTTCCATCCTTTTCAAGAATAGATCTAGGTATGGTGAGATCCGGATCGTATTCTGAACTCTTATTGCCAATTTTCCGGAAGAGTCGACGACCGCCACCGCCATAGTGGTCATCATTGGGGAAATAGATGTGGATATTATGATCTTCCCCATTGACGGGCTTTTCGATAAATGGTTTTCTGAAAGACTTGCCGTCGACGATGAGGGTTTCTCCGTCCTCCGACAGGGTCACGGACTGAGTTTTCGGGCTGCCACCTCCAGTTCCATCATCGGGTCCATCCAATTTTACACCAGTAAGATCGTAAATGTGTTGGGCAAGCTTTTTGGACTCGACTCTTGGACCGCCATCTCTGTTGACTTCGAATCGTTTCGGGGTAGGGATACCCATCTGGTCCAGGATACGAAGACATAGGCGTCTATCCCATAGCACTTTTTGCATTGGCAGGTCATTGATACAAAAGGGTTTCCTCAGCTTGGCATACGCGATGGCCTTGTCTAAGGGGAATCCATCGGAGAAGAAGGCAATTAAGAAATCGCTATATAACATTAGCATGATCTCGATATTTTTCGTGTAACAAGCAATTTCAATGTCAAAGTCAAGAAGAGTGGGGTATTCGTACCACACCGGCCAATTTTCGACAGCTGCAGAAGTAAATATTAGTGTCTTGTTTAGATGAGAGAGGAAGAGAGGCGTGGAATATGGTAATATGGATTTGCCTACCCTCATCAAGGATAACCTTGTCACCGAAAACGATAACCTCAAAGTCCCCCTTTGACTGCAACCTGGTAAGGATATTCTGGCTCGGTTTGCTGCGAGCCTTGACATCCAAAGCGCAGACGCCGATTTTCCCGATGAGAGGTACCTTGGCTGGAATTTTGAACTGTATTGTCAGTTTTCTCGATGCCTGCTTAAGATATATATAACAAACTACGTCATGATCATGATTGAGGGGAGATGTTCCTGTTTGTGCTACGTACGTTCCGCTTCACTCGCACTGCTTGCCGCAGTGCTCCCGCTAAATCTCCTTGGCGTTCGACTGGAGGATCTCGCCGGGCGGACTACCCAGTTTGAAGTGGAACGTCCATCTGTGGCTGCTGCCGTAGTTGTAGTTGAATCGGCACGGAGATTGGGGAACGGGCCCGATGTAGAGATAGTGGAAAATGTAGAATCTGCTGCTGTTGCTGTTGCTGTTGCTGTTGCTGCTGCTGTTGATGGTGATGATGATGGGAGAGATGATTCAATGGCATTGTTATTGGTATTGTTGCATTGTTGGTTTGGGTTTGAAGAGGGGTTGCTCCTGGCACCATCGGGATTGTCCATGCTGTTGCTGTTGCTGTTGCTGTTGCAGCCCTTTATGGAACCTGCGAGGGATGAGGCGCAGGTGCCTGTGCCTGGTACGCGGTCACTGGTGGCAGAGTAGATGGTTGAGCCTAGGGAGTAGAGGGAGGAGAAAGACACGCAGTGGGAGGAAGGGATTGCAGTAGAAGCAGTAGTTGTTGTACCGGGAGATGGAGTTGTAGGAGATGTATAAGATGTAGCAGACGTAGTTGTAGCTGTAGCAGTTGTAGTGTCTCCTCCTCCTCCTCCTCCTCCTCCTCCTCCGTCAGTAGTGGGCATGCTCATGCTCATGCTCCCGCTCCCGTTCCCGTTCCCCGTGGCAGGTTCGGGGGAGGCACCAGCAGCTGCCAGCCCCGAGGGAGAACCCGCAGCCAGGCCTTGTCTGTTGTGTACTGCTGCTGTAGACTGTGCCGTAGCAGGCTGCCTCTCCTTCTCCTTCTCCTTGTCCGAGTGTCCCCTGCCCGTGTCGCCAGCGTTACTGCTGCCAAACACCGCAGACCCAGCGCTCAACTGAAGAGACTCCTCCTGTTGCTGGAGCTGGAGCTGTTGTTGTGTCTGCGACTTCTCCTTAGCCAATAGTGATCCTCCTTCCACCGCTTTCTCTCCACTTCCCTTGTCCTTCTGCGTCTCGTCCATTGTATGTGGGTCGATTGACTTGAGCCACCTGGCAACAGCAGCAGCAGCAGCAGTGCCTATACGTTGTAATGTATAGTCGTCAAGAGAACATACACACACTTTTATCCCATCAACAACCGATTAGTTATTATTATGTCGCACCACTGCTGTCTCCAGATAACGGTTCCATCCGGATTGCTGTCGGCGACGAGGGGTAGGGTAGGAGGGTACGTGGATCGGTGCTGTTTGCTATCTGTTGTCCGCTGTCCGCTGTCCGCCGTATGCAGCATGCAGTATGCTGTACGTGGTTGATTTGGGAATGTAGATATCGACACTCGTCAGATTGTCCTGTTATGAGTGCCGTGGATTCGCCACCAAGAAAGGGTTCAATGGCAAGATCTTACTAAGTTATAACTTATAGATATTGAATTGGAGGCGAAACGCAGACGCTATATATATATGTACAGAGATGAGGATAAAGTTTATGTCCCCTATGCAGGTGTTCAAAGCATCTGAATTGAAAATAAAATGAGCGACAAAGTGTTATTTGTCAGTTGTGTGCATAACTAACTTGTTAACTATTTGTATTTCTTGGGTCAATTGATTGGCCCTAAGATGTTCTTCGGGCGTTCTTCATCCAATATCATCAGCCTGACCAAAGACTGGGCAAAAGTGAAAAAATATCCCAACCTAAATTTCTCCCCGAACAAAAATATATAGAGAGCAAGAAAAGAAAGAAAAGAAATTCAACCATAAAAAACACAAAATAATATCACCCCAGCCGACAGCCCAGCCTGGGAATCTCAAGCGACTCGTCTCGCCTCGTCTGGTCTAGTCTAATCTGATAGGCTGAGGGTGGAAATCCAAAGCTGATGTCTGGGTAAATAGATTTCATCTATTCAACTACCAACCCCGTTCCATACGAAGTCGAATACATATATATATATCCCATGCCATCCTACAACATCTGAATATAATATCACCATGCCCTTGATCGACAGCGAGGCCTTTGGCTTCCCCGTCGCAAAGAGACAAAAAGTCTCCCCGGGCCAACAGCTCGTGTCAGCCAAAGAGCCTCACCCTCCTCCAAGCTCCAGGATATTCTCGCCCTTCAGAGTAAGTCCATCAAGTCCATGATTTCAATTGTGCGAATATATCTATGCTTATATACATCAGAAAATGGAGTATTAATTGCAATGAACAGACTCTAGGCCTCGTCTCCCCCACAAATGTCCCCTTCACCTCCATTCCCTTAGGCAAAACAACCTTCCAAATCACCACCTCCATCGGCAGGTCGCTGCAGACCTACGACCTTCGTCGTGGCCTGAGTTTGATATTCCTCACACGCCCACAGACACCAGCTGCTATCACCGCGATATGCGCATGGAAGGATAAGATACTCGGTGCATGGGGTGGATCGCTACCCAACGAGCCATCGGGGGTATGGCTATTTAAGCGCGGGAAGAAAGTTGGAGAATTGGCCTGTCCCGCCATCACTGGAAATGGAAAGGGAATCGAACCCGTTGAGCAGCTGCTGGTGTTCGGATCGTGGATCGTGGGCTGCTGTGCCAGTTCTATACGTATATGGAAGTCCACCACCTTCGAGCACTACACAACCCTCACCCCTCCAGCTGCCAGAACCCCATCCTCAGGCCCTCGCACCCTCACCGGCCGCATCTGCACTATGCCCACATATCTCAACAAGATCTTCGCCGGCCGCAGCGACGGCAGCGTCGACATCTGGAACCTCAGCACAGGAAAACTAATCTACACCATTCTCCCAACGACCCCGAACGCAGGGGCCGTAACAGCCCTAGAGCCCACGCCGGCCCTCTCCCTCCTCGCAATCGCCTACTCCAGCGGAGCCCTAGTCATCCATAATGTCCGCACGGACCAGCCAATCTTACACCTCCGCTCCAAATTGACAGGGAGTTCCGTTACGGACATCTCACCGATAACCAGCATAAGCTTCCGCACCGACGACCTGGGCGCAGGCAACGACGGACGAAAAGCAGGCGTCATGGCCACCGCAACCGCGGACAGCGGCGATATTACCATGTGGGACTTAAACGATGGCGGACGCATCACCGGCGTTCTACGCGATGCACACGAATCCCCCTCATCCTCAGCTGGATCCAGCGACAGAGGTCAACCCTCTCAGGCCGGCATTAGCAAGATTCAATTCCTGCCCGCCCAGCCTGTCCTCCTCTCCACAGGAACCGACAACTCTCTCCGCTCCTGGATCTTCGACCAGACCCCCTTCTCCCCGATTCCGCGCCCCTTACATTCTCGCGCTGGCCACGCAGCTCCAATAACAACCCTAACCTTCCTCCCTGCCGCCTCTGACGACTCCGACACTGTGGGCAAATGGCTCCTCAGTTCCAGCCGGGATCGGAGTCTGTGGGCACTGAGTCTACGGAAGGATTCGCAGAATGTCGAGTTGTCGCAGGGGAATGTTGGGGTGCGGAAGAAGAGGAGGGTGACGGCGGCTGCGGCTGCGGCTGCGGGTGTAGTTAGTAGGGAGGAGTTTAAGACGCTGGAGATTACCTGTTTGGCATGTTCGTTGAATAGAGATGGGGGAATGGGGACGGGGGGTGCGGCGGGGGCTGGTAGTGGGCCGATATGGGCAAATCCCAAAGGGGGCAGTACTGAGGGGACGGGTTTGACGGGGTGGGAGAGTGTGGTTACGGGGCATCGGGGGGATGGGGTTGCGAGGACGTGGTTTTGGGGCAGGAAGAAGGCCGGGAGGTGGACGTTTGCGACAGGGGATGGGGGGGAGGTTAAGGTTTGCATTTTACTCTTTCTTAAAAAACAGCTACGCATTGACGTGTGATTATGATGCTAACTTTTCGACAAAAGAGCGTCGCAGTTTCTCCATGCGGTACTTTTGCGCTGGTTGGTTCCGCTGGTGGATCGATTGACATGTACAATCTACAGTCTGGGATGCACAGACAGTCGTTCCCGGCGCGGGTAACGCCAGCACAAGCTAGGAAGCTCAAGATGCTCCAATTGGATGGAATGGAAGAGTTGGGGACTGGCAAGAGCCAAAATAGGGGTTTCCAAATGGGCGAGGGCAAACATACCAGCGCTGTTACGGGGTTAATGGTTGATGCGCTGAATACGACTGTGATTAGCTGCGGGCTCGATGGCATAGTAAAGGTTTGTTTATACACTTCAATTCATTACACTGCACACACCACCACCCTTACCCTTTCTCTATCTACATCAACATTTTTCTCAATTTCTAATAAACCAACCGGTCACAGTTCTGGAACTTCACCACCGGCCACCTCCAACACGAACTAAACTGGCATCCAATGTGCTCCATCACCGGCCTCCGCCACAACATATCCTCCGACCTCGTCGCCCTAAGCTGCGACGACCTCTCTATCCGCATCATAGACATCGAAACCCGCAAAGTCGTCCGCGAACTATGGGGTTGCACAGGGCAAATAAACGACTTCTGCCTCTCCAACGATGGCCGCTGGGTCATCGCCGCGTCCATGGACTCGGTCATTCGCGTCTGGGATCTGCCGACGGGACACCTTATTGACGCCTTCCGCATGGAGAATACATGTACGGCTCTCGCGTTATCTGTGACAGGAGATTTTTTGGCGACGGCGCATGCGGATGGGGTCGGGGTTAATGTGTGGAATAATCGAAGTTTGTTTGTGGGGGTGCCTACGAAGCATATTGGGGAAGAGGAGGAGAGGCTTGTGGAGGCTATGGAGCCGACGGCGAGTGGGGAAGGGGGAGAGGCGATTTTGGAAGCGGCATTTGAAGAGGTGGATGGGAATGGGGGGAGTGGGGAAGGTGGAGAGGGGATACAAGTGTTGGGAATGGAGCAGTTGAGTCGTGATATGGTGACGCTTAGTGTTGTGCCGAAGAGCAAGTGGCAAACGCTTTTGCATCTTGATGTGATTAAGGTGAGAGCCTTCTCCCCTCTTCGTTCTTTTTTTCTTTTTTCTCTTTTTTTCTTTTGTTTCTTTTCATGTTGACTCTCGAGCGAGAGGGAAAACTAAATCTATCCATTTACAGGAACGCAACAAGCCCAAAGATCCCCCCAAGATCCCACAGAAAGCTCCCTTCTTCCTACCTTCCACGGTAGCAAATGAAAACGCAGACTCCACCTCATCACTCCTCCCCGCAACACAAGAAGATAGCCATAAGCCCAAAAAACCCACCGCCGCCGAACGCTCCCGCATTTCCAAACTCCAACTCCAGCGCACCACCAATACCAACGGAGCCAACACTTCTACAATCTCCCAATTCACCACCCTCCTCCACACATGCAGTGAAACAGCCAACTACGACTCATTCATCGAGTACCTCAAATCCCTCTCACCAGCCAAAGCCGATTTGGAAATCCGCTCGCTGGACCCTGGTCTTCTGAGCGGGAAGGGATGTAATGAGTTGATTGAGTTTGTGTCAGCGTTGACGGCGCGGTTGAGGACGAGGAGGGATTTTGAGCTTGTGAATGCGTGGATGGCGGTGTTTTTGAGGGTGCATGGGGATGTAATTGGGGAGAGTAGGGATGGGGATGGTGCTGACGGTGCTGGTGATAGCGAGGCGGAGGCAACTCGGGCAACATTGCGGGAGGCGTTAAGGGAGTGGAAGATTGAGCAGGAGCGGGAGGGGAAGCGGCTGGCGGAGTTGGTAGGGTATTGTAGGGGTATTGTTGGGTTTTTGAGGTCTGGGCGGTAGAATGGATGGTGAAGGAGTGAATATAGCAGTGTAACAGTCTTATTATGTATGTATGGGTCTCGTCTCTAGTCTGCTGCTATGAAAGACTGGACAATGGTTTCCGCGAAGTCGAGTAGAGTCGCTGGAGAGGGGTTATAAATGTCGAAGTAGAAGGTAGAGAGATAGAAGGTTGTATTGTAGTTGTATTTTTTTTTTTTTTTTTTTTTTTTTTTTTTTTTTTTAGGGGCATGGAGTATACTAACGGAATTTAAATTTCTATTGCACAATCCACCTATATTTATCTTTATCTACATATTTTAATACTCCGTAGATCTATAGCAAACACATCTCTATTCTCCAGGGAGCGGAAATTTGAGGCTGATACCGCCAAGCGCGGCTATGATGCGGCTATTCCCAAATCGCTTAACCTTGATAAGATGCACTATGGGAAACTTGGGAATCGTCAGCCCTCTTTTAATTGTCGACAGGTATGTAACATATTCACATCCGCATATATCCACACTATTATACATAGTGCATAATACATAAACATTTTACATATATACCCCTCCCATGCCTCCACCCTGAAGTTTACTGCCAGTCAGGTACCACTATCCACCTGCCAGCTGTTACCAATCAATCAGTTACGAACCATCCGCCTCGCTCACACACCCTCAGTAGTCAAGGCGCAGCCTCATATCAACCCACCGACCCTTTCCACTCACAATGCGCTGGTTCCTAATCCTCATAATAATCCTCTTCCTCCTTCTCCTCGCCTACATATCCTGGATCGCCTTCACCCACTACCGCGCCCACCGCGCCGGCCTCCCCCCACCCCCTCTAAAATCCTACATTCCTTTCACATCCTCCTCCAGCCATTACAGAGACAGCAGCTACCCGACCCCGCGCAGTGCCGGGATCGCAGGCTGGGTTAAAGATCGATGGGCTGCGTTGCGCAATCGGAGGACGGCTAGGGGTGCGTATGAAGAGCCGCTTCATCCTGGGATTTCGCGGGGGAGGGATAGGACTGGTGGTGGTACTGAGTATGGGGGTGGGTATGCGCATGATGAGATTTGGGATTCGAGGATGGGGAACGGTGGGTATTATGAGGAGCAGGAGTTGGGGCTTGCAAGGCCTGGAGCTGGGGGTGCTGGAGTGGGAGTGGGAGTGGGAGCGGCCAGTGGACCGTATGATGAGGGTGTGGCGGCGTATCATGGAGCGGGATCCAGAGTACTGCCTAATATTAGCACGACGGCGATTGATTTGCAGGCTGATGAGCGCGAGCAGGAGGTTGAGAGGGGGAGAAGCCGGAGTCGGGAGGCAAGGGTTGCGGACAAGGATCCATTTGGGGATGAGGCGGAGCCAAGTCATTTGAAAGATGTCAGTCCACGGCCGGTGATGGAGGGTGATCTGGCTGGTGGTGATGGTAAGGCGGGAGCAGGTGGCTCTCCTTCGGGGCGGGATTCGTCAACAGATCGTAAAAGTGCATTTAGGGAGGATTTATGAGCGTTACGATCCCTTCTTGGTTAGGGGCTTTTGTCTATGGTGGCTTTCCTCCCTATTTTTAGATGACATGCTTTTATTTTTTATGATTGAAATGTGATGTCAGTATCGGATGCCCCTTTTGCCTTTTATGTTGTCTATTGAGAAGCCCGTTGTATGGACCATCGAACGATTTCCCCCGTTTTCATTTTTAACATTGACTTCTTGCCCCCTTTGTGGTACAGCGAGAATATGAGAGCTATTGTTTATGACATCTATCAATGATAGTGGGTATCTTGGGTAGGTATATTGGACAGGCGTTAGTTCATGTCAAACACTTCAATCATCTGATCATATACATGATACGAGCTCAATCCCCGACCTGTCTGAGGATATCATACAAATTCGTAGTTGGCTTCGGATTACTCCCCTTTCTCCTCGTCGTCAATGTTTTGGCCGTCTCTTCCAAACCAGCATCGCTCGTCGTCCTCTTTCCTTTCTTGCTCGGCGCTTTGGTCACTGCCACCCCCCATGCTTTTTCCTCCTTAGCCATCGAGAGGTCACCCTGTCCATTAGGAGACACCCTCAGGCCTTCCAACCCCTCAACTGACTCCCCATCCAGCTCCTCTTCCCATTCCTCTACATTGAGAAGCGAAAACAACCCCTCAACCACCTTTTGAACGGTGTCCACATCCCCGCAAAACT